CTGGGAATTTTCCGGGAATGGGGACGGGGACTCGGAGCCGTTCCCGGGAATTTTCCGGGAATGGGGACAGGGACTCGGAGCCGTTGCTTTGCCGACGTTCCCGGGAGAATTCCCGGGAGAATTCCCGTGGAAAATCCACCGCGGTGCCGCGTTCTTGGTGTGCCAGGGGAATTCCTGCACGGAGCTGGGGTATTGATCACTGATCAGTCCCTGATCCATGAATATCGATCACTGATCCAGGGATATTGATCACTGATCAGTCCCTGATCCTGGGATATCAATCACTGATCCAGGGTTATTGATCAGTGATCAGTCCCTGATCCGGGGATATCAATTCCTGATACAGCCCTGATTCTGGAATATCAATTATTGATCCAGGGTTATTGATCACTGATCAGTCCCTGATCCGGGGATATCAATCCCTGATCCAGGGTTATTGATCCCTGATCTGTCCCTGATCCGGGGATATCGATCCCTGATCCAGGGGTATTGATCCCTGATCTGTCCCTGATCCATCCCTGGATCCATCCAGTATCCATCCCTGGATTTGGGATTTGGGATTTTGGATGTGGGATTTAGGACATTGGATCCTGGATGTTGGATTTGGGATCTGGGATTTGGGATGTGGGATCTGGGATTTGGGATTTGGGGTTTGGGATTTGGGATCTGGGATCTGGGATTTGGGATCTGGGATTTGGGATCCGGGATTTGGCATCTGGGATTTGGGATCTGGGATTTGGGATCTGGGATCTGGGATTTGGGATCTGGGATCTGGGATCTGGGATTTGGGATGTGGGATTTGGGATGTGGGATCTGGGATTTGGGATTTGGGATCTGGGATGGTTTTTTCCTGGGACAGTCCCAGCGATGAATGAAACAAACCAAACCCGACTTTTTCCCCCCGTAATTCCCAATTTCCCCCCGTAATTCCCAATTTCCCCCTGTAATTCCCAATTTCCCCCAGTAATTTCCAATTTCCCCCCATAATTCCCAATTTCCCACCTTTAATTCCCGATTTCCCCCTGTAATTCCTGATTTCCCCCCCATAATTCCTGATTTCCTCCCTTTAATTCCCAATTTCCCTCCATAATTCCCGATTTCCACCAGTAATTCCCAATTGCCCCCCATAATTCCCGATTTCCACTAGTAATTCCCAATTTCCCTCCATAATTCCCAATTTCCCCCCACAATTCCCAATTTCCCCCCTGTAATTCCCAATTTCCCCCAATAATTCCCCATTTCCCCCCTGTAATTCCTGATTTCCCCCAATAATTCCCATTTCCCCCCCATAATTCCCAATTTCCCCCCCTAATTTCCCATCTCCCCCCCAATAATTCCCGATTTCTCCTGTGGGCCGGCATTCCCGGGGTTTTCAGGCCGGCATTCCCGGGGTTTTCAGGCCGTCATTCCCAGGTTTTTCAGGCCGGCATTCCCGGGTTTTCCGGGCCGTCATTCCTGCGTTTTCCGGGCCATCATTCCCGGGTTTTTCAGGCCGGCATTCCTGTTTTTCCGGGCCGTCATTCTCGGTTTTTTGGGCCATCATTCCCGGGTTTTCCGGGCCGGCATTCCCGTGTTTTCCGGGCCGGCATTCCCGGTTTTCAGGCCGTCATTCCCGGTTTTTCCCGGCCGGCATTCCCGTTTTTCCGGCCATCATTCCCAGGTTTTTCAGCCCGGCATTCCCAGGTTTCTCGGGCCGTCATTCCGGTTTTTCCCACCGTCATTCCCAGGTTTTTCAGGCCGTCATTCCCGTTTTTCCCACCGTCATTCCTGTTTTTCCGGGCCATCATTCCCGTTTTTCTGGCCATCATTCCCAGGTTTTTCAGGCCGGCATTCCCGGGTTTTTCGGGCCGGCATTCCCGTGTTTTCTGGGCCGTCATTCCTGTGTTTTCCCGGCCGTCATTCCCGGGTTTTTCAGGCCGTCATTCCTCCCGTTTTTCTGGGCCGTCATTCCCGTTTTTCCCACCGTCATTCCCAGTTTTCCCACCGTCATTCTGGTTTTTCAGGCCGTCATTCTTGGTTTTTCCGGGCCGTCATTCCCGTTTTTCTGGCCATCATTCCCAGGTTTTTCAGGCCGGCATTCCCGGGTTTTTCCCACCGTCATTCCGGTTTTTCAGGCCGTCATTCTTGGTTTTTCCGACCGTCATTCCCGTTTTTCCGGCCATCATTCCCGTTTTCCCGGCCGTCATTCCCGTTTTCCCGGCCGTCATTCCCGTTTTCCCGGCCGTCATTCCGGTTTTCCCGGCCGTCATTCCGGTTTTCCCGGCCGTCATTCCGGTTTTTCCGTGCGCAGGAGCGGCTGATGCTGTCCATCCTGCCCAAGCACGTGGCGGACGAGCTGCTGAAGGAGATGAAGAAGGACCCGAGCCAGAAGGAGCTGCAGCAGTTCAACACCATGTACATGTACCGCCACGAGAACGTCAGGTCCGCCCTGCCCGGAATGCCCGGAATGCCCGGAATTCCCGGAAAAAAACCCCCGGGAACCCCCGCGGGGAAAAAACGGCGCCGTTCCACGGAAATCCGTCCGTTCCGCGTGGAAAACGTTCCCGGGGAACCCCACGGGAACTCCCAGGAATTCCCAGAATTCCCCCGTTCTGTGCGGAAAACGTTCCTTGAAAGTCGGCGGGAATTCCCAAAATTCCCCCGTTGCGCGCAGAGAACATTCCCAGAAAACCAGTGGGAATTCCCAAAAATCCCCCGTTGCGCGCAGAAAACATTCCCAGAAAACCAGTGGGAATTCCCAAAATTCCCCCGTTGCGCACAGAAAACATTCCCAGAAAATCAGTGGGAATTCCCAAAAATCCCCTGTTGCACGCAGAAAACATTCCCAGAAAACCAGTGGGAATTCTGAAAATTCTCCCGATCCGTATGGAAAACATTCCCAGAAAATCAGTGGGAATTCCGAAAATTCTCCCGATCCGCATGGAAAACATTCCCAGAAAACCAGTGGGAATTCCGAAAATTCTCCCGATTCACACAGAAAACATTCCCAGAAAAACAGTGGGAATTCCGAAAATTCTCCCGATTCACACGGAAAACATTCCCAGAAAAACAGTGGGAATTCCAAAAATTCTCCCGATCCGCATGGAAACATTCCCAGAAAACCAGTGGGAATTTCCAAAAATTCTCCTGATCCGCATGGAAACATTCCCAGAAAACCAGTGGGAATTCTGAAAATTCTCCCGATCCACATGGAAAACATTCCCAGAAACCAGTGGGAATTTCAAAAAATTCTCCCGATCCGCATTGAAAACATTCCCAGAAACCAGTGGGAATTTCCAAAAATTCTCCCGATCCGCATTGAAAACATTCCCAGAAAACCAGTGGGAATTTCCAAAAATTCTCCTGATCCGCACGGAAAACATTCCCAGAAAACCAGTGGGAATTTCCAAAAATTCCCTCGTTCCGCACAGAAAACATTCCCAGAAACCAGTGGGAATTTCCAAAAATTCTCCTGATCCGCATGGAAAACATTCCCAGAAAACCAGTGGGAATTTCCAAAAATTCTCCCGATCCGCATGGAAAACATTCCCAGAAACCAGTGGGAATTCTGAAAATTCTCCCGATCCGTATGGAAAACATTCCCAGCAAACCAGTGGGAATTCCGAAAATTCTCCAGATTCACACGGAAAACATTCCCAGAAAACCAGTGAGAATTCCCAAAAATCCCCCGTTGCGCGCAGAAAACATTCCCAGAAAACCAGTGGGAATTTCCAAAAATTCTCCCGATCCGCACGGAAAACATTCCCAGAAAACCAGTGGGAATTTCCAAAAATTCTCCCGATCCGCATGGAAAACATTCCCAGAAAACCAGTGGGAATTTCCAAAAAT